GATTACGTGTGTCTCTCACACGCACATACACACAGATACAAAAGCACGCACACACACACACACACACACACACAGATACACAAATACGCACGCACACACAGATACACGAGCACGCGCGCGCGCACACACATACACAAGCACGCACGCACACACAGATATACGAGCGCGCACGCACACACAGATACACGAGCACGCACGCACACACAGATACGCGAGCCTGCACGCACACACATACACGAGCACGCACGCACACACATACACGAGCCCGCACGCACACACAGATATACGCACGCACGCACACCACATATACGAGCGCGCACGCACACACAGATACACGAGCACGCGCGCGCGCGCACACACAAGATACACGAGCACAGCCGCGCGCGCGCGCACACACACACACACACACAGATACACGAGTACGCACGCACACACATACACACACGCACGCACACACGCACGCACGCACGCACAATGCATCCGGTGGAGAGAGAGAGAGAGAGAGAGGGAGAGGGAGAGAGGAGGTGGGAGAGGTAAAGAGAGAGAGTAAGAGGGGAGAGAGAAAGCGAGAGAGAGAGAATGAGATCAAAAGAGAGAGAGAAAGAGATCAAGAGAGAGAGAAAGAAATGGGAGAGGGAAGAAACAGGTCGATGTCACCCCTCCCCCCTCGTGTCACCCCCGCGCACCACTCACCTGCGCTTGAACAGGTAGATGACTCCAAACATAAGGATGGCGATGCCGCTGATGCCAAGGATGTTGGCGATGACGATGGCAACGTCGCAGCTCACTCCCAGCTGCGCGCGAAACCGCTCGATGTTACACACCTCCGCGTCTGTAAAAAAACGTGCGCAAAACAAGTGAGCATTCGCCTGCACGACAACGTCAATGGCTGTGCGGCCGAAACGCACACCTCCACGACCGAGATGCCTGCAAAACAAGTGAGCGTACTTCTGCGACGACGTCACGCGACACGTCCAAAACGTGCTAAGCAAGTCAGCAGCTGTTCACGACGATGTTGCGCTGACTCCGAATCGGAAACGCGCCGAACAAGTGAGCGTCCTTCCGCGTCTGAAACAGCGTGTTCGTACCTGGGATGCCGTCAGTGGGCACAGAGCCATCTGGTGTCAGCCATCGGACACTCTCATTGGTCTTTTCCAGCGTGCCATTCTTACTGCCATCTTTCTGCATCTGATACCTGGAAGACAAGCGAACATCGTAACACGCGGCGACCGTCGCAGGACAGTGGCGCCACCTTCGTCGTCGTTCAAACGAGCGATGTAGTAGGCTGCGAAGATTAGTGCGAGAAAGCGCGTCAACCTGCCTCTATAGACAACTGCTGTATATATTTTATATTATTGTTTTATATATGTTATATATTAAACAACTGCCATTGCATCTGGCTAATCATTTGCTTGTGAATCCATTCGTATCCCAAAACATCAATGGTAAAGTGGAATTAATTTGCTTATGTCATTTTTATGGTCAGACACTAGCCTAGAACTAGTTCTTTTTCTCCTCTGCAGCTCACTTTCAACAGCTCAAACTTCAGATTCAATTTAAGCAACGTTTAAAATCTCATTAATATTATTTATACTATCATTTATATTTCATCATCATATATTTATTTTAATCCGATATTTAAAATCCTATTGAAGAATAAAAAGTTCAAGACTATTATTTTTTTTACAGTTCAGGTTTACCACGGCGGTATAATTACCATTACTGTCCTTATTACCACAATCACGACAGGAAATGCTGCGTACGTTACTACGTGCGTCGGACACTAGGTGGCGCTACGTGAGGCGCGACGTACCTGCGGACGACGTTGAAGGAGTCGTTTTTCGGCCACACCTGGATGACCTCGATCTTACCGATGCGATTTGGACCGTCGAAGAGAACGTGGCCGGACACACCGGGAAAATCCGTCGCCTGCAGATGCTTCATGTACTTCCTACGATGAAACAATAGATGTGAGCGTGATAGAGAGAGAAGGAAGGGAGGGAGGGAGGGAGGAAGGAGGGAGAGAGAGGGAGGAAGGAAGGGGAGGGAGGAAGAAATGGGAGGGAGGGAGAGGGAGGAAGGGAGGGTGCAGGAAGGGATAAAGAGAGGGAGGCACTGTGGGAGGGAGGAAGAGAAGCAGTGAAGGAGAAGAGAGAGAGAGAGAGAGAGAAAGACAGAGAGAGAGAGAGAGAGAGAGCGAAAGAGTGAGCGAGAGAGTGAGAGAGAGACAGAGAC